GGAAATTGCGCCACGCACCACCCCACAACAACTTATTTGCACTATTACGAGGTAATACAAATATTTAGCAAATCTACCAAATCTTATATTTTCAATTGCAAACAGATAATAATTCTATTATTCAACATAAATAAGGTTATTGGGATATTCCTAAAATTAGGGATAACGTATCAAACAACTCTCTTTCTCTCTAGCAAATATTATGATAGCAAAAACCCTCAGCCGATGACTCTCACCCTTACCTTCTTCCTCCTCATCCTCCACTGCCTGCCTCCGCCTCCCGCGATGAGGTCCGATCAATCCTCGAGTTCAAAAAAAGCATCAAATTCGACCCTTTCGACCTCGTCTTCTCCTCCTGGGTGCGCCCCGCCTCCGCCTCCGCCTACTATGACGACTTATACGACGTCTTCTACTACACCGTCGCCTCCGCCGTAGTCGTCGTCGCCCTTGACGACCTCGGCCTCACCTGTGAACTGAAATTCTGAATCCCCGCTCGCAGATCCGTCATCTCCACTGACAGAGTTTGTCCAAGGCGGTGTGAGGAGACGAAGGGCAATCGTGACCTGGGGCGTTGTGTTCGCCTATATTTTTAAAGCTCGACCGCAAGTGTACGGCTTCGCTCGTAGTATGTGGCAAACAAGGTCGTATTCCAAGAGACCAAATAATTAATATATCAAGTACCAGATTATGATAGTGTCAACTTTATTTAGACGACCGAATATGAGATGAATTAACTAAACTAAGAAAATATAATTAAAGAGAAATAAAACAACAAGAAGAAACTAGCTAGAAAAACGCGTAAGAAGATGTATGAGAACGATAGATTCTAAAACTTTGGTTTCAATTAATAGTTGGGTTCCTTCAAAAATATCACAACTAAATGTTCCTTTATCTACCCTATAAGATGATCACAAATTTAGTTTATCGTTCCTCTCGAGATCGATAAAACCGTAGATTAAATCACATATATTAGCGTCTCCACTCAACATATGCAATTCAACTCCAAATAGATTAAAAGATCTAATATCCTCACAACAACCTACTAATCTCTCGATTCAAGCAAGTAAATTGTGTCAAATATTAAAGACCTAATATTGAACTCATCTCTCGAATTATGAACAATATTGTCAAACATGTAAAAGCATTGATCAAGTGCTGAACATGAAATAAGAACAAAATATTTGAATAGGGTTCAAGAGAAAACAATCAATTATAATAAATCATAAAAAATCTCAACATATTAATCTACTACCAAGTCTTAGAATCAAATAAACTAGCCAATCATGTTCGAATACAAATACATAGACATATTAGAAATCAACATAATCAATAAAAGTTCAAAAGGAAAGAAGAAAGAAAAACTAGGAATCTCGTCGATCTTTCAATCTTCTTGATCCCTTTTGTAGTTGATCTTCTTTTGCTTCCCAATTGCTTCTCTTGTATGTTCTAGGGCTCCTCCAATGTGTATCTCACGTTCTTCCTCTCAAAATAAGGTAAATATGCCTTTTATAATGTCTAAAACCCTTCTTCTTTTCAAAATAGGTAAGATATAAAAAACAGCCTGCGCGCGCGACACGGCCATTCTGCCCGTGTCACGGTCCATGTCGCAGCCCGTGTCAGGTCCCTGGGCTTCGAATTGTCTCTGTTGAGGTGACACGGCCTCTGACACGGGCATGGTGCCCGTATCACTGCCCGTGTCACAATCCTGCTTGCTCGTTTTTGTCCGTTTCACTCGTTTCTTCCATTTTTCTCATCCGTGCATCAATCTATCATCATCCCGAGGGTCCTAGGTACTCACCATGCGCATCCAATAGCCACAAGCTCTACAAATATGTGAAACTATCTACAAAACAAGCACGTGTAATACCCTTCCAACAAGATATAGAATTATAGCACAATAATGCAATTTATACACCAATAATGCAATGAATAAGCTCTAGATGCTACATAAATATGGTGTAGAATCACACATGAACACGTTGGAGGTGGATGGGGAAGGGAAATCCGTCATCTCCCTGCTCGCGATTGTCATCTCCACTTACAGAGTTTGTCCAAAATCGTTTTTTTTTTCTTTATAAAATTTCACGTCCACGGTTTTTTCTGGTATATTTTCGGTATATTTCCAATAAAATCAGAATCATGTACAATTGAATGAACGTTAAAATCACAAAATATACCTCACGTTTATCGTCCTTTCATGCTTTTTTTGCAGTATATATTGTATCGTGTTTGTATAGTTTCCCCTGTTATATGTATGGTTTATATTCAATATATTTTCGGTATATTTTCCCTCAATCTCATTACGCGTTGCGTATATGATGATATATTTTCCCCCAATCTCAACTTTTTTTTGTGGTTATTTGGGTAACTTTTTTCAGAATAGAATTCAAAAGGCATTTTTTAGTAAATGGACGCAAATCACGGGCAAAAGAAGGGAGAGAAAGTTGAATTGATATGATAACTGAATCAGGCAGATTAAATGCACATGGAGAGTGGTTAGAATTAATTGATAACTGTCATTATGCATTAATGTAGATAAATATTATCTTTTAGGCAAAGTCACAATTAATTGCATGTGTGTGGTAGAGTTGTAATTCTTTTAGACACATCTAGGAGGGATGAAAATTTCCCGATTTTCAAAGTCCATGTAATCATTTATTACATTTTGCTTTCTAATTGTCAAGTCGAACCAAGCCCAATCCTTTGCTATCTAGAGCCCAATTCTTTGGAATCCAGAGCCCAATCCTTCGGAATCCAGTGTCCTCTTCTCGATTCAAAACTGCCAATCGCCAATTAACGATTCGAAATCACTTATTGTGTGGACAGTTGAAACCGCCATTAATGTTCGTACCAAGCTGCGACGATTTTCCGGCGTCACCTGTTCCCAGAGAACCACCGCTGAGGGCATGCCAGCGAGAACGGCCATGGTGGCGATCCAGTGCCGGGCCAAGCTCGGCCCTTTGGTAGCCCCCATTTTTTCTTCGGTTAGGTAGAACTGCCTGGCAATCTGCGGCTGGTCGTCGCCGACAATGGGTGGTGAGGCCCTTGCCGGACGGAGGATCCCGACCGGAGAAGACTCCGGCGTTCAGATTCTTTGAGCACGGAAACCTTTTCTCAGTATAAATTACACTGCGTTCGAATAATTTACAAAATCGATTGCTCTGTTCTAATTTCAGGATGCCTCTCTATATTTGTCTGCCATGTTAGATTTGCGTTGCATGGTGATAATAGCACAAGCAGAGCTCCACAAATTGATTGAAAATATATAATGATTGCTGGTAGCTCAATATTTTACATTTATTGATTTCCTGAGGAAAGAACACTTGTTCAGGTTTTGATCGTTCGAAATTTACGTGGGTTTTGCACTATAGGTTACATTTGTGAAATTTACATCAGTTCTGCACTAATATACATAGGTCATTTATCAGAAAAAGGACAAGCCCATAGCAGGTGAACTAAGAGTGTTGAACACGAATGGATACATTGTCCATTTCTCGAGTGACCCACCATAAGGTCATCGACCTTGACTTGAGAGGTTCTCAGCTGGTTGTGCTAAAACCACATATTAGTACTCTCTTATCTTCTCAGTTTCCTGCAGGGACCAGAAACGTTTTTTTATCACTTCCACAAGAGTAAAGACGAACGACTTCATTTCTAAAAGGGAGAATTCACCACTTGTCTGCACTCAAGCCCACCAAAACTATAATTGCCCTTGGTACATCACTGAATCCTATTACCAGAAAGCCACAGTAAAATTACTTCCTCTATGGGGAGACCAATCCAAGACTGCTTCACATTTCTTCTATTCTTCATATCCTTTCTAGCAGCCACCACAGTCTCAGAAGGGCAGGACACGATAAACTCAACTGACATGATCACAGATGGTAAGACATTGATATCATCATCTCAGGGCAGCTTTGAGTTGGGGTTTTTCAGTCCTGATGGCTCCAGAAACCGATACATCGGTATATGGTACTCGACGAAAATCGTAACACCCGTAACCGTGGTCTGGGTCGCCAACAGGGACAACCCGCTATCAAACACATCAGGGGCTGTGCTCAAAGTCATTAGCCCTGGGATCTTGGCCATTCTAAACGGCACTGGCAAAATCATATGGTCATCGTCATCCGACACATCATCACTAGCCGCACAGGAACCGGTTGCACAGCTTCTCGACACTGGGAATCTCATCCTGAGAGAAGCAAACGATGAAAACCCGGAGAACTATCTGTGGCAGAGCTTTGATTACCCGACCGACACATTTTTACCTGGGATGAAATTAGGCTGGAATTTGTTAACAGGTCATGAAAATTACCTCTCCTCATGGAGGAGCAGTGATGATCCAGGTACCGGAGACTACTCGTTCCACTTGGACCTTACGGGATACCCCCATGTAGTCCTCATAAGGAAGCCTTCTGTCGTACGTTACAGGGGTGGGCCCTGGAATGGAGTATGGTTCAATGGGATTTCCGGACCAAGCAGGAATAATTTAGCCACCTATGGTCTGGTTTTCGATGAAAAAGAGGTGTATTTTCATTATGAGCTTCTAAGCAATTCTGTTATGATCAGGGTGTTCATTAACCAGCTTGGAAGCATCCAAACCTTGGTTTGGGTTGGCCGGGAATGGAATGCGACAGAACCCAACATCTGTGATTCGTACGGGCATTGCGGTCCATACGGAAGATGTGATATCCGAAATTCTCGAATTTGTGAGTGTATGGAGAATTTTGTGCCGAGGTATCCAGACAAATGGGCGGCGGCCGACTGGTCTGGTGGCTGCATACGGAGGACTCCCTTGGGCTGCAAAACTGACGGGTTTGTTAGGTATTTGGACATTAAATTTCCTGATACCAAACATTCTTTGCTTAATGAGAGTATAGATTTGGAGGAGTGTAAGGCCGTGTGCCTGCTGAATTGTTCTTGCATGGCGTACACCAACTTAGATGTCAGACCAGGGCAAAGTGAATGTATGCTTTGGTTTGGTGAACTGGTCGACATGCGAGTTGGTTATGGAGCAGGACAAGATCTTTACATTAGAATGGCTTCTTCAGAATTCGGTATGTGTTTGTGTTATTTCTTCAAATCGATATTTTTCGTACCATATCGTAAATTATATCATGTGCCCTGGGCCAAAACAGCATCACATTGTCAAAACAAATGCGAACTATTAGTTCAAATGCTAGTGCAACGATATATATACCGTTAATTCGTCCATTTTAGAAATATAAACTGCTGATGTATATTTATCTGTACGACTGATATACACCAAAAGCTGCAAGCTCAGCAACGAGGGGCATTTTAATAAAATATTTGGAAAGGTCCACAAAGCACCGTAAATCCTTGTAAAACAGGATTTTTCCAATGTGGGCAATAGTACGGGGGCACGTGCAGAGAAAAAGGAAATGGGTTGGGCTAGGCAAGGCAAAATAAAAAATCTTTGGGGCCATATTTTTTATGGCTTAGTTGTTAGTACATCTCAGTCCTATAAAAGATAAAATACAAGCACATAAGACTTAGGAAACTAACTTTAGGTTCTCGCTCATCAAGAGTGTGCTACAGCCTTGAGTACAAGATTGTTTCTAAGGGCAGGAAAATGACGAAAGATCTCAGTCTTTAATCTCGTTGTTTTATGTTTTTAGCTTTTGTAGGGTTACTTTACTCAGTTATGTTTATGTTATGTCCTACGACATTTTTGCTTGGCAAGATTTATACTGATTTATATATTTTACTTGTGAAAATTGGTCCCAGCCTTTTCATTCAATATTCTTTTTAGCTCTTTTGGATTGTGATATGACATGGACAAAAAAATTTCTTCAACTCTAATTGTGATTTTCTGCCGCGAAATGATCATTTCTTTTTTGAAATGACAAGAATCCTCGTGAAATGGCTAATCGCGTCAAATTGGAGAAAGGTTTAAAAATATATATATATTTTTTAATAAAAGGGCAGAAAAAATTATTGACCTGCAATTTCTTATTTTTGAATTGCCTGAATACTTCACTCCAGCATCAGACTACAAAAGAAACAAAGGCAAAATACTCATAGGGACTTTGACGTCATTGGCGGGATTGATTTTCTTAGGCTTGAGCGTCATGCTTTACATGTGTAAGACCCACAGAATAAGCACGTTGAGGAAGGGAGGTAAGCAACCTCCCTCTTTTACAATAAATGGAACGTTGTCACTATTTACTAATTACTGAGAAAAAATGTTCTGTTCTTGTGTTTAGAAAAGTTGATGTTTATAAAAACAATTTGGCTAAAGATAGAAAGATAAAATAATGATTTGGCGTGTTGCAGGTTGGCATAAAGAAAATAAAGACCTGGATCTTCCTTCATTTGCTTTCTCGACTATATATAAAGCTACTAACAATTTTTCCAAGGACAAGAAGCTTGGAGCTGGTGGATTTGGACCTGTCTACAAGGTAAATTTTGCATGCTGCATTTCATCAGCTTAAACAACTCTTCGCTGAAGATAATAACACTTCAAGAAATATAGCAAATACAGGAAGAGGAAGTTAAAAATTAAGAGGGAAAAATATGGTTACGACACATAAGGACTCATTGGCGTCTTGGTTCCCGTAGACCTTTTACGCTCAGCTTTAGTGGTACTGAAGACTGTTGTCCTTTCGGGATGCTTGTATTTTGAAGTTAGTTTGCAAAACTATTTTTTATTTATTAACAAAAAATACCAATAGATCTTCTGATCGAAACTATGTTGTGTGGTTTTTCGAATGACCAGAAAATGAAAGCAACGAACAAAATAGTTTGGTCGAGATGAGTATACGATTCTCTGTCATGTGAGCTTTGCACATCTATGTGCTCACGGTTTTCGGCAGTCGCCAGTAAGATAAAACGACTTGTGGAAAAGATATCTCTTTAGAGTAGGCTTGAAAGGTCATGGCTTTTCGTAACTAAAGGATGCATGTAAATGAACGTCAAACTAACCTGCCTCTTCACAAAGAAGTGATGTGTCGTTTGCTTTATAGTGAACGAATGTGTCTCCTTATGTCTATTCAAAAAGAGATGCATAAGCTTGAATAAACATGTATATTCGAATAGATGCATCCATTCAAATATTCGTGTCAACGTCGTCCAATTCAATGGTGTGGTAGGATTTTTCAGCTTCTTGTTGTGATGATGATGATGTCAGGGTACGCTTGAGGATGGACATGAGATTGCTGTGAAACGTTTGTCAAAGACATCGATGCAAGGACTTGATGAATTCAAGAATGAAGTGATATCTATTGCCAAACTTCAGCACCGTAACCTCGTGAGGCTTCTTGGGTGGTGCATTCATGGGGATGAGAAGATGCTAATATACGAGTACATGGCCAACAAAAGTCTCGACTTAATCCTATTTGGTTGGTATTTCTCACATCAAAGCAATCCTATTATACAGCAATGTATGTGATGCAGTCAGCAGGATACGCTGTTAACCAACTGAAAAAACATTGACATACTAACTGTACCAACACTTGCAACAGATCAAGAAAAAAGTAAGTTACTTGATTGGCCAAAGCGCGTTCAGATTATCAACGGTATTGCCAGGGGACTCATGTATCTTCATCAAGACTCACGACTGAGAGTTATCCACCGTGACCTGAAAACCAGCAATATACTGCTAGACATGGACATGAACCCAAAAATATCGGATTTTGGCATGGCCAGAACATTTGGAGGGAATGAGACTGGAGCTTGTACATCCAGAGTTGTTGGGACATAGTAAGATTCTCAACTCCAAGAATACATCTCATGTGAAATTACAATGATTGATATCTAAATGGTGTAATTTAATTGTTTTTTTTTTTTAGTGGTTACATGTCACCAGAGTACGCCATTGATGGGTTGTTCTCAGTGAAATCGGATGTGTTTAGTTTTGGAGTTATGGTATTGGAAATACTGAGCAGGAAAAGGAACAGAGGATTTTCCCACAAGGATCATCACCATAACCTTCTTGGGCATGTATGTGTACTACACTACGCGAACTATCTTGCATTGACATTGAACCATAACTATTTTTCTGGACTTTCTTAATCTGATCATTATCTTCAATTTTTTTTTTTTTTTTGCCAGGCATGGATGCTTTACAAACAAAGACGGCCCTTGGAGCTAGTTAACGACTATCAAAGCGAAACGTGTGACTCGTCAGAGGTGCTGAAATTAATCGAGGTGGGATTGTTGTGTGTACAAAAATATCCTGAAGATAGACCAAGCATGTCTTTGGTTGTATTCATGCTGGAGAATGATGTTGTGCTGCCTGAAGCTAAAGAGCCTGGTTTTTTCACAGAAAGAGATGCTTTTGCTGATGATCTATCAATCAGCACCAGTGGAATTTCAACAAATGAGATCTCACTTACTACTTTTGAGGCAAGATAGGGACGCCTTAAATTTCTGGTGGCTTATTATGTTCTTTTTGTTGCCCTTGATTGGGAAGATTTTTATGAATAGATAAATGTACATAATATAAATTGAGAAATTATAAATTTCTCAAAGTTAAATTATAAGAGATACATGTGAAGTTATTTAGTATTTGTAATTAATAAAGTATGTATATATATTGGGGAAATTTTCATCCCTCCTACACGTTTCTAAAAAAATTACAACTCTACCACACACATGCAATTAATTGTGACTTTGCCTAAAAGATACTACCTCCTATTTTTTTTAAATGTCATTTTGACTTTATTAACTATTTACCAAATAAATGTCGTTTTGGATCTTTTGTGTATATTTTTCCATTATTACCCTCATTTAGCTAATAAATACACTATGTCTTTTCATATTCAATATTCATTTTTTCCCAAAACATCATTCTCTATCTTCATTAAAGAAGGTTATTATTGGAAAAAAAATATTCTTAATTACTGTGCAACTTCTTAAAACGACACTTATTATGAATAGGAGGGAGTAATATTTATCTACATTAATTCTAACCACTCTCCACGTGCATTTAATCTGTCTGATTCAGTTACCATATCAATTCAACTTTCTCTCTCTTCTTTTGCAGACGACGTCGTATAAGTCGTCATAGCAGGCGGAGGCGGAGGCGGAGGCGGAGGCGAGGCGCACCCAGGAGGAGAAGACGAGGTCGAAAGGGTCGAATTTGATGCCTTTTCTGAACTCGAGTTTTGATCGGACCTCTTCGCGGGAGGCGGAGGCAGGCAGTGGAGGATGAGGAGGAAGAAGGTAAGGGTGAGAGTCACCGGCGGAGGGTTTTTGCTATCATAATATCTGCTAGAGAGAGAGATGTTGAATACGTTTTTCCCTAATTTTAGGAATATCCCAATAACCTTATTTATGTTGAATAATAGAATTATTATCTGTTTGCAATTAAAAATGTAAGATTTGGTAGATTTGCTAAATATTTTTATTACCTCGTAATAGTGCAAATAAGTTGTTGTGGGGTGGTGCGTGGCGCAATTTGCTCTTGAAAATTTGCCAAAGAAAAATAGGATAGATAAGGCTAGGGGTGAACAAAATCTAGCCGAAATGAAAAAACTGAGGGCGCGTTTGTTTACAAATTAATCCGCTTAAAATTATTTTTTGGATAACTATGATTAACTTTGAAAAATATAGTATAATTAGTTAGTGGAATTTTATGTTTATATTAAAATAATATTTAAAATAAAATTGATAAAATTGATTTGATGTAAAAATATGTGAAAGATGATGTAAAGTGACAATTAGTTAAAATTGTGTGAGTGGATGAATATTAAATTAAAGTTGATGTAATGTGTAAAAATGATTGGTTTGTAATATTTAATTATATTTATAACTTTAAAGATAGTGAGGTTGAGTTAGATTTTGAGTATGAATTAAATGTGACTGAAATATTTTGTAAACAAACACCCCTGAGCCGAACTGTGCAATTTGGTGCAGTTCGGTTTGGTTTTTTAATTTAAAAAATATTCGATTTGGTTTTGATTCGGTTTTTTCTTATATTGCGGCGGGAGTGCGGTTAAGTTCGATTTTTGGTTTTGTTCGGTTCGGTGCAAAACCAAATTGAATAAAATGTATAGAAATACCGATAAACTCGAAAACTGAGTTGAGCCGTGCATTTCGATGCGTTCCGATTCAGTTACTTTAGTCTAAAAAAATTCGATTCGATTTTTTTAAGTTGCGGTGCAGTTCGGTTGTTTTTTTTGCTATGTTCGATTTTCGATTTCTTGCAGTTTGGTGTGGTTTTTCACCGATCCGCACCGTTTGCTTACCCCTTCACATGGCCAAGATTGGGAACCCGCCCGCCGAACCGTCATATCCGACCCGTGATCTAAGGCCCGACCAAGAATCGGGCCCATGATATGTCCGGCCCCTGAGCCCAATCCGGAGATTTGGCGCCAGAATTTTCAAAATTCAAATAGAAAAATCTGAATTTATTTTGACCCGCCGAGTTAGAACAAGAACTAACAGGTTACAATGGTCGAATTCTTAAAATCCTTGTGATCCTTGGAGATCTGAAATGGTCAATCAATTTATAGTAACACAAATTGCTCTCTTGGTGCAAAATATGAATTGGGGAGCAATAGAGATTTAATTCTCTTTCGGACTGATTGACAATCTATCAAGGCAAATCCTTGCATTATCTAACACTAGTTAACACAAAGTAGTTGTTCATTGTATTTGCATAAACATAAGATAAATGTTAAATAACATGTGAATGTGCTTTTTTTGTGCCGTTTTTCTACTATGAATGAGCTGAGCTTAATGTACAACTCTTAAATGAAGGGACTTGGCAATTAATTACCTGAATGAGAGTATTATGTGATATTTCCCAGTTGAAAATTTTATAGGAGACCAGAGTAGAGTATTTTTAGTGTTTTACCATGAGCAACCAGTAATCTTCATGGCCCGAATTTTTTTTATCCAAAACTACCGTCCGATCAACACACACCTGCACGGTTGTGGTTGAGTATGTGTAGTCAGATGGTTAAAACTTCGTCAATGCATGAACTAGTTACAACTTGCAACAACAAAATCGAATTTCGAAAGTTGGGGAAGAACACCAAAAGGAATTAGTCCCGGATAAATTTACAAAAGATTTTCTCGGCCGACGAAAATTTCAACAGTTCCTGTTAGCTTCTTCGAATAAAAAAAGATGAAACTATATATTTCATGCAGCAAATCCATTTTCTTTTTGGTATCATATTTCCGAGAGTAGCCCAACTGCTCGGTTTTCCCAGCTCAGTTTCGAAGCAACTCTCTCATGGCTCGGGACATAGTCCTATATACAAAACAAAAGAGGAGATTAAAAAGCAACTCGAAAATCGAAGATTCGTTTATTTTTGGCTAGTTTGAGCACTGTGAGACAAATTTACCTCCAATTTTTTGACGAGCTCCTTTGAATTTGGTGCTGATACGATTATGTGGCGAGCATTTGGGCTGATGAACCCTTCCTCAACGGCTTTGTCGATAAACGACAAAAACGAGTCGTAATATTCATCAACANTGCCATTAGTTACCTCTTTAGAATTATATGATCAGTTAGAAACTTAGAATTGGTCGAATTTTTTCCAAGATCAAGAAAATAGTTTACAGGCTTATCATGGATGCCAAGCTGAGCCCAAGTTATGACTTCAAGTAACTCCTCCAAAGTTCCATAGCCCCCTAAAAAAGACATATGAAAAGATGACGAGCGGTTTTATATGCGTAAATTTGCACGAAAAGCAAATTAAAAGTACCTATTTTTTTTTGTAGATTATGTTCATGACTGATTTTAAAAACAACATGACATTTTCAAGTATAAGTATGCATTTTTATTAAAATAAAAAATGTACGGCGGGTCGATCCATCTAGCCATTATACGAATCTGTATAAGAATTTGTGTTATAATATCAAGTGAATAAAAGTCAGGGGACCTCATAGGGCAATTTGGTTACTAGGAGAATGTGATAAAAATTCAGACTGTTGATTTCTAAGTGCTAAAGTTTCCATGAATAATGCTAACTTATACTTGGTCAAAAAATGGGGAAAAAAATGAGAACTTTCTATTTTCTTGCATTTAAGAATACATACAATCAACTGTCTGAGAGAGACTAATGAGAAATGACAAAATCAAGAAAATTGAAATCTCCAAAAAGATCAGAAAATGAGAAAAAGGTAGTAAATTTGTTTATAAGGGCATTGAGTTCATAAAAAAATTTATTTAAGACACAATTTTAGAAAGAGGAGATTAAAAGTTAAAACACAAACCTGGTAAGGCTATAAAAGCATCTGAGTATCTTGCCATCTCAGCTTTCCTTTGGTGCATATCTGCAACTGCTTTCACCTCCCCTATTGTCTCACCAGTCAACTGNCCCCATAAAGCAAACATTTTGATAAAGCTGAAAACAGAAAGGAGAAAAAAATTTGTGTTGTTGGGTTGTGTGCATTTTCAGCAGTCCAAGTAATGATGGTATTTTCAGCCAAATGTCAAAAAGGAAATTAAAAGCAAAAATCTTTGAGGAAGTACAAAATTGAAATGGTATTGTATGAAAATGGAAACAATTAATTGCAGAAAAGGCCAAGACAGAAAAATACAAGAAATAGTGACAATTGGCATAGGCAGAGCAGAGAGCAAAGAGTGGTGGAACTAAAAAGAGAAAAAATTGGAGCAAATATTTTTATACCAAAAAAGCTCAAAAGAAATAGTGACAATGGCATATTTCATTTTGTTGATTCAAATACCAGAAGAAATCATGAACTCAAAAAACCAGATGTTTGAACTGTTAAAAAAAGAAAGCAAACAAAGCAAACAAACTGCCTATTATTATACCTTGACAAGAATAAACTACAGCAATGAAACCATGAGCAAGAAAATTGTATATAATAGAAAAGGAGAGATAATTTCATGGTGGGGTTTGCAAATTTNATCATATCAGTGAAGACTAATCAACCATTCCCAACATATTAAAATTGAACTAATCATTTAAAGTTCCCATTTTTTTTGCTGTTTTTTTTTTCTTTTATAATTTAAAGAAAACTCACCCAATTACATGCCGACCGCCATTATGAACAGCTTGAGATACCAAACCCATCAAACCTATGCTCCCTCCTCCATAGACCAAATCAATGTTTTTTGAAACCTTAATAAAAAACACAAAACATATATCATTACACTGAGACAAAAATTCAAAGAATAGAGGGTTTTATTTATTCTATTCTATTCTATTTTTTCTCAATCTTTAACCTTTGAACAACATCCACCATAGTCAAATGCTTTACAGCACATTCAAAATCAAACGTGGTGTTCTTATCCATTTGAGAGAAAAAAAAAAAGAAAGCTCTTTCATTTCATAAGGAAGCAGACTAAAAAGGTGTGAACACAAATTTTACATGCAAAACTCTGCTATGAACTTATAGATAAACAGAGCATTTTCATGTGAAGTAGGGAATGTACTAAAATCACACTAAATATTCGATCAATCGACCTAAAAAATGCAAAACCCGAGCCAAAGAGACAAAAAAGATGCAAAAGATTGGATTTTTACACAAACCTATTTAATAGCCTGCCCTGCACGTTTATCAACATCCCACAAGAAAAAAAAAATACGACAAAGAAGACAAAGAATAAAAGGTCATAAAAACTAGGTGAAGGGAAAAAACAAAAAAAGCAAGAAAAAAGAAGAAAATATCGATTACCAAGACTTTTCCAAGCTCAATAGCAGCTTCTTGATAGCTAGCTTTTTTGCCATGGCTGCTCCCACAAAAAACACAGACCCTTTTGAATCTTGATGGTCTAACCTCATTATCCCTCTCCATTTTCTCTCTCTCTTTCTTTGTTCTCACTCTCTTAACTGCCCCAAGTTCGTATTTTGGTCATACAGTTTTGTCTTTTATCCTCTAATGGTGGTGCAACTTGGAATAAAAGAGGAATCTTGCTTCCAAACAGTACACAGTACACACCTACCTATTTTGTATTCTGGCCATATGTAGCGCCTGCAGATTATATATATATTGATAAAAGAAAAAAGGAAAATATAACGAAAATGAGAGAGGGATTGTGTATAATGGTGGAAAAGAGGAAAAAAAATTAAAGCTTAATTATAACTAATAAAGCCATTGAAAGTGAAGACGACAGACATTTTTTACTTAAAACCAATTTTGCCTCTTGGCCAGTAACATTGGAGATGGGAGACTGGGAGTTTCATTTTTATAAAGGGCTCTTTGGCACGTGCCAAAAGTGACGTGGCTTGGTTGCCACGTGTGGAACACTATCATTTATGGAGGGCAATTTTAATTTTGAATTTTTTGTTTGTTGTATTTTTTTAAGGAAAAAAGTCAAAAATTATTGTCCTGTTACATAACTATTCCGTTGTTTTAGCTGTAATCTAGTTAATAATTTTTCTTTTTTAATAATATAATAATTATCATCTCAAAAATAAACCATTGGCTATATTAATGGCCATAAGAAATTACTGCACAATCCGGTCTTCTTATGTTAGATGATTAATGTTAAGTGTAGTTTAAAAACAAAGGGGTAAATAAAAGAGAATAACAATATGAAAAATCAATATTTTCTTGCTAGTATATATAAGGACTAGAGATGGCGAGTGGCNCTCGTTTCCAATTTCATAATATAACATTGGGATTATTGCAGAAAAATATTGTTGTGCAACTTCAAATGATCAGCACCTTTATATGAACAGTACAATATGGGTTACCAATCCATTCCCCTTCAAAAACTGACAATCCCTTTAACAGTACAATATGTAAACATCTACTGAAGCTTATAGTTCTTCACCAAAACTCAAGCTCAAGCATACATATGTAAATAATCACCCAATTCCTAAAGTACTCTATTCAACAATCATCAAGGCTTTAAGAGAATTATAATTACAGAGACAAAAAACCTAACCTGTAAAACATAACACAGATCCAAAAATTTCAAAGCATTCTATTCATCCACGTTTCTACAGAAATACATCCAGTTTCTTTTATTAGCACCAGGAAAATCGAACCAGAACACGCAGTTGTTCGAATGTAAACCGAACCCCAGAACAAAAACTGGAGTACAAACACATAAAGAAGCTCCTAAGCTTGGAAAACCGAGAAAAACCACGAACCGCATCAGATGATTCTCTCACAGTTCTAACCAAAAACGAAAAATGAATACTCAACATTAGTCTGGAATAAAATTCATGAATAAAATTTGGACCTCAAGATAAGAAACAAGAAAAGCCACAATCTTTTTCACCTAGCAAGCCATGGCACCTTTCTTCTTATCACCTTTCTTGCTTCTACCCGGCTTATCCTTATCCTTCCCTGTAATCATCCTAGACAAAATATCCGCCTGTTTCGAATGCCCCTCCTCGTTAAGACTCTTGATCAAATCTTTGCAGCTACTCCAATCACTAACTCCTCCTTTCTCCATAATCTTACAGAGTATTGAGTACGCATTAAGAGTTTTCCCGGCAGCCAACAATGCATCCAACACCTTCTCATAGCTCGACACCTGTACACTGTAATCCCTCTCTAATCCATAATCCAAAAGCTTCAAGGCTGCAATCGTTTTCCCTTTCTCGCACAAAGTGGACAAAATTCGGTCGAAATCGGGCACGACCCCACTCTGCATAAGCAACTCAATTCTGCCAAGAGCCTCCTCAACGTGGCCCCTCATGAACAGAGCCTCCAATACCTTAAAAATCAAATCTTGATGATCGGTGACTCCTTTTTCTAACATCATCTTCATCACGCGGCTCGCGGTCTGAACTCGTCCGTCCTCGAACAAGCTCTCGATTACCGATCGATAAAGCGAAGAATCCGGGAGGTGCCCGTTTTCAACCATGCTTTCTAGAACAATTTTTGCCTCCGCAGGGTCATTCTTTTTTAGATAGCTCTGGACAAGCGAGTCGAATGAGGCCTTCTCAGTGTTAACTTTTCTCCTGAGCATGATTTTGAGAAATTCGAAAGCAGATTCGGGAGAACCTTCTTGGGAATGCCCGATTACAAGCGTGTTCATGGCAGCCGAGTCCTGCACGCCCAATTTCATCAGCTGCCGCATTAAAGTTTCGGCCTTTGAAGTCTGGCCGTTTTTGCAAAGGTAGTCGATTAGTGGGTTGTACGCGCTAGCCTCCAAGTGCAGAGTACTCTGAGGCCTAAGGATGATATCCTTCTCAATCAGTTTATCGGATAACTTAACAGCCCTATCATAAACACCAGCCTTGCAGAAATTTTCGATCAAAATACCATAGTGCCCAGCCTGTGTAGGCACACTCAACTTAATCATAGCCTTCAGAACCTCTAAAGCCGCATCCAAGTGACCCGCTTTGCACTGACTGGACATCAGCCTCACGAAAATCGAGTAATCTTTCGGCTGAATATACTTAGCCACCATTTCCTTCAGAATAGTCCGGGCCTCGGGCATTTTATCAGCATCACAAAGGCCTGGCAAAAGTGTCGAGTAAGTGAGTGCATTCGGCTTGATACCAAATCCCTTCATCTCCTCCAACAATCTCAACGCATCATCAACTCGCTCCACCGAAACATAACCTTTGATCAAAGTTGTGTATGTAATCACATTTGGTTCAATGTTCTTCCCCTTCATCTCAACGAAATATTTCTCCGCCTCCTCCACTTTCTCGACGCGGTAATAACCGTTGATCAACGTGTTGTACGTCACCAAATCGGGCTCAATCCCACGGCTCTTCATGTCCTCGAAAAACCGATTGGCCGTCTCGACTTTGCCCGAGAGAAAAAATCCCCATAACAAGATATTGAACGTGTGACGTGTCGGCTCAATGCCTTCAGCTAACATCTTGTTGAAGTACCTCTTGGCCATCATGTATCGGCCCCTGCGCAGGATTACCTTAAACAGAGTGTCGTAGGATTTCAAGCCTCGCTGGACTCCCAATTCTTCCATCTTCTGGAACAGCTTCACGCTCTCCTGGACAATCCCGGCTTGCCCATAGCTGTAGATCATCAAGACCCACAAATCCTCGTCCCACTCGGCGCCCTTTTTGGGCATGTCCAGCAAGATGCACCTCGCGTGGTTGAGCTTCGAGGCCCGGCCGAGAATCTCGATGATCTTGTGGTGGGTTTCCCTGTTGTGCTGAAAAAGATTGGACCGCTCGACCCAACGGAAGAACTGGAGCGCGTGCTCCGAGTATTTGGCGCCGTGCAGGACGTTGTAGACGAGCTCGTGATCGAAGCTCGGGACGAGGTTTCGGATCGAGTTCTGTAGCCGAGTCGTCCAGGCCCGATTCGCCATCATCCGGCAGATGATGTCCTCGATTTTCTCCGGGCCCCGGCGGCGACTGGCTTCCCGGCGGCTTCGGAATGGTTCTGGCTCCACCGCCGTTTTCGGCGGGGAGGTGTCGAGATCCGGATTTGGGGATTGGGAGGTGGGCGAGGTGCAGAAGAAGAGGGATTTGAGGGAAATTGGGGAATGGAGCTTGGAGAGGCTTGGATTCAAATGGCTTCGTCTTGTTGCTGCTAAAGACGCCATTTTTGCCGGTGAGCAAAGAGCGTCGAATTTTCTGGTGAGATATTGTGGTAGAGCTAGGGTTTTGGGTTTTGGGGCAGATTAGAGTGGACACTGTGCGTAAACTGAATTTACCCCTGCCCTATTATTTCTTTTTTTTTTTCATCTAAATAAGTGATTAAATAATAGTGGTAAATTCAATTTACTAATTAATAAAAATGTAGACAATCCTAAAAAAACGTCTTTTGTAGTCATTTGTGGTCAAACATTATTGCAACGTCTTTTTTGGTTTGAGGACTCGTGAGGCTCACTTTTTTACCGATTATTGTCATACTAGTACAATACCCGTGTAATACACGAATGTTGAATTAGAAAGCTTTTGTAAAAAATATTAAATTTTTTATTTTTTTAAAAACTAAAATAATTTAATTTATATAAAACATTACTTTGAGTTTTAATTAAATTGTCAGATTATATTTTCTTAATCATAATAATTAAACACTCGTACATTAAATGAAAATGTCAACCCGTGTTGAATTTGTTTACTTATATCATATAAAAATATCGATATTATTTGCTATTACAAAAGTACAAAAATATATATCTTAAATAAATAGAAATAATATGGTGATATGTATATGTGTAGAATATGTTTATTTAATATTAAGCAAAATAGATTAATTTTTTTACTTAATTAGATGCCTAAAACATCATGTGTCGTATCAGTCGTGCTTCACAGTTTTTTAACTTTATATGTAATTTTAGAATTTAGATAAATAATTATTTATTTTTATTTGAATTACAACGTACCAATTAGATTTGAAATAAATATCATTTTTACAAAAATACATACCAATTTCTATTACTTTATAATATAAATTTATAGTTTTATTTGATATAATTTAATTTATTTTGATAAATAAATTTAAATTTTATTTATAAGGATATATAAATTTATAATTTTATTTATAGTTTTTGGATTGTTGTTAGTTTATTATGGTGCTTAGTGCTGCATATTTGGTTTCGGTTTGTCCCAATTTTAGGCCAACTTGATTGGTCATTCCATTCACACTCGATGTGTTGAACTTTGTATTATATCAGTTATTATTAATGAGATTCTTATCGTTTGAAAAATTAAAATAAAAAAAGTATACGTGTCCTCTTGTTATGGAGCCATCATTTTGGATTAATAGAATCTACTAGTACAATACCCGTGTTTACACGGGTGTTGAATTAGAAAGATTTTGTAAAAAAATATTAATTATTTTATTTTTTAAAAAACTAAAATAATTTAATTTTATATAAAACATTACTTTGAGTTTTAATTAAATTGTCAAATTATATTTTTTAATCATAATAATTAAACGCACGTACATTAAAGGGAAATGTCAACCCGTGTTGAATTTGTTTACTTATATCATATAAAAATATCGATATTATTTACTATTACAAAAGTACAAAAATATATATCTTAAATAAATAGAAATATATGGTGATATGTATATGCATAAGTGTAGAATATATTTATTTAATATTAAGCAAAATAGATTAACTTTTTTACTTAATTAGATGCCTAATACATCAACTGCCGTATCAGTCGTGCTTCACAGTTATTTAACTTTATAAGTAATTTTAGAATTTAGATAAATAATTATTTATTTTTATTAGATAGACAACATATCAATTAGATTTGAAATAAATATCATT